CAGTGTCACCGCAAGCAACTTCAGATCCTCGATGCGACGGGTTTCTTCAGGCAGGTAGGGACCACGGCCCCCCCAGCTCAAGCGTGGGGGGAGCAGGCAATGGCGAGGGCGAGGAGGAGGAGGAGGACGACGACCACATCGAGGACAGGAGGCGGAGCACAAGGAGGAAGTGGAGCAGGGGGAGGAGGTCGAGGACGGGAGGCGGAGGATGAGAAAGAGCGACAGCGAATCGTCGCCACGACGACGAGCCAGAGGACAGCACTCGTACCCTCGGGCTCGCCTACGCGTCCTCTTGTCATTAGGTGGAGGCTGAGGCTGGAGCAGGCGGCGAAACAGGAGGGCGAGGGAAGGGAGGAGGGGGAGGACGAGGACGAGGACGAGGAAGAGAACAAGAACATTGGCCAGGACGAGGAGCAGATGAGCGGGCATGGTGAGCAGGAGTGGAGGGAGCAGCAAGCAGAGTGTGTTAGCTTCTGTACATACATGATATCTTACATTCTACAAAACAGTACCTGCACAGAAGGTGTCTCATTTCTTTTCCAAGGATCTGGGCCTGCGGGCCGGTCTGGCGGCTCCGTGCTCGTCGTCGCCACCCCGTCGCCGCCTTTTCGCCGCCCGTCGTCTGGGCCTGCGGGTCGTTCTGGCGACACTGTGCTCGCCGTCGCCGCCCCGTCGCCGCCCGCCGTCTGGGCTGCGGGCTGGCCTGGCGGCTCCGAGCTCGCCGTCGCCGCCCCGCCGCCGCCTCGCATAGATCGCACCGCGTAGGCTCCCTTTTTTTGTTGTTGTTTCTTTCTCTCTCTCTTTCTCTCTCTCTCTCTCTCTCTCATATATATATACATATATATAACAAAGAACATGATACAGGATCTACCACCCTCCGCCCCCCCCCCCCCCTGGGACTTGTCGGCTGCCCTTGGGATGTGCAATTTGCATACTATCTGGCCCCATCGCTCACTTGGCATACGGATTCATCCCGGCCGAACTGGGTTTTACCCCCCAGTTGATCATCGTCAGATAATTCCATCCGCGCGCTTGTTTATCACAATCATGAGTTTCCAAGCACATATTTTAAGAGTTTTTTCTGGCGAAGGACCCAACCATGTGCAGTTGTGAAGTACCGTCGTTGCGGGTATCGCCTTGGGGGAATTTCTTCATGGGGCCATGAAGCATGCGGAGGGTGTGCCGATGTGGGGCGGCGCCATGTGGGCGCTGCCACTGAGATTCTACGCGGAACCCACCATGAGGCCGCGACGCGTGTGAGGGGTACGCCGCGATGGGGCGGAGCCGCCACTGGGGCCTTCGGCGGAGCTCTCTATGTGGCGACGAAACGCTGTTCTTGGTGGGGGAAACGCACGCGGACACCGCCAGTAGGGCATTCTGTGGAGCTTCCTATGAGGCCACGAAGCGCTGTACTGGGCGGGGGCCCCGTGTGCAAGTGCAGCCACCGGGGCCTTCGGTGGAGCTCCCGATGGGGCCCGAAGTGCTGCACTGTGTGGGGGTCCCGCATGCGAGAGCAGCCACTGGGGCCTTCGGCAGAGCTCCTCATGGGGCCACTGAACGCTTGACTGGGTGCAGGAACCGCATGCGAGTGCAGCCGCTGGGGCCGTCGGTGGAGCTCCCCATCAGGCCACGAGACGTTGTACTGGGCGGGGGAACAGCATGCAAGTGCAGCCACCAGGGCCTTCGGTGGAGCTCCCAGTGGGGCTGCGAAGCGCGGTACTCGGTGGGGGAACCGCATGCGAGTGCAGCAATTGGGGCCTTCGGTGAAGCTCCCGGCGGGGCCATAAAGTGCTGTACTGGACGGGGGAACCGCATGCGAGTGCAGCCACTGGAGTCTTCGGTGGAGCTCCCCATGGGGCAACGAAACTTTATGCTGTGTAGGGCCACTGGGGCCTTCGGTGGAGCTCCCAATGGGGCCACGAAGCGCTGTACTGGGTGGTGGTCCCGCATGAGAGAGCAGTCACTGGGGCCCTGGGTGAAGCTCCCGACGGGGCCACGAAGTGCTGTACTGGACGGAGGTCCCTCATACGAGAGCAGCCACTCGTGCCGTTGGTGGAGCTCCCTATGGGTCCGCGAAGCGCTGTACTTGGTGGTGGGGGTCCCGAATGCGAGTGCAGCCTCTGGGGCCTTCGGTGAAGCCCCCTATGGGGCCACGAAGCGCTGCACTGGGCGGGGGTCCTGCATGCAAGAGCAGCCAATGGAACTTTCGGTGGACCCCCCGATGGGGCCACGAAGCGTTGTACTTGGTGGGGGAACCGCATGCCAGTGCAGCCGCTGGGGCCGTTGGTGCAGCTCCAGATGGGGCCACGAAACGTTGTACCCTTTTGGGGAAACACGTGCGAGAGCAGCCACTGGGGCCTTCGGTGAAGCCCCGAATGGGGCCACGAAGCGCTGTACTGGGCGGGGGGCCCGCATGCGAGAGAAGCCACTGGGGACTTCACGAAACGCTGTACTGGGTGGGGGTCCCGCATCGCATGCGAGAGCAGCCACTGGGGTCTTCGGTGGAGCTCCCTATGGGGCACGAAGCGCTGTACGTCCCCTGTGCGAGAGCAGCAACTGGGGCCATCGGTGGAGCTCCCTCTCCTCCCCTCCCTCTTTCTCTTTCTCTTTCTCTGTCTCCCTCTCTTTCCCCCTTCTCCCCCAAGTGAGGACCCTATCCCACAGGATACGTTGGGCCAAATCTGAACAACGTTCACACGCGCGCAACGACGCGCGCATGCCAGAATACTTCAAACAAATCATGTGTTGTGGGGGTGTCAAAATTGAGTGCCCCGAAGACATATCAAACAAAGCACATTGCTTCGCAACGTGATGCTCCAAAACAATCATCCGCGCGCGTGCTTACGAATTCTTTCGAATACCAGAAAGTTCTTCATCACTTACATCAAATGCGACTAAGCGGTCCTTTCGCGCGCGCGCTCCGCAATCATTCGAGCGCCATTGCGCGCGCGTTGTGGGGGGCACGACACCTTTCGAATGATATCGTGCGGGCTACTCGTGCCCGTCGGCCGCGCGCGCATATCGAAATCCGCTCCAAACGTTCACCACCGACACGTGGACACCATCACCGCCATCGGCGTGACCAGCGTCGGCGCTGTCATTGGATTTGCCGTCGTCATCGTCAACATCGTCACCAGCATCGCTACTGTCATCCTCGTTTCAGCCGTTGTCGACGTCGCCCACCCGTGTCACCGACTCGCACAGGAGTGCCTGCGCGCCAGAGTGGGTTACACCACGTAGAATGCTTCGCATATGTTGCACAACGGTATCGCGCCACGTAAACTGCCTGACACAATTTGCACCACATAGACTGCTCCACATAGATGATCCTTCTTTCAATTACATAAGATTATACACCCCCCCGCCCGGATTATCAGTACCCATTTGTTTCGCACTGCAATGCTTATATGATGTTGCCCCACCGTCCATCCTAAATATGAACTCGCGCCATCCCAGCAAGGCTGGTATCGACCCCCCTGTCATCCCCTTCGAATCATACTACGCGAGCACATTCGTTAATCACAAAAAGTCAGTCGCCAAGAATTTTGTGCAACTGGTTGGACGAATTGCACGCTTCGCGCGTTGTCGCAAGAGCATGCCGGATCTCCTCAACAACCCGTCTGGTTTCGCAAGGATTGCAAAAGCGTGCGGTTCCAAAGAAGGAAAGCACCACGTGGTTTCGCGAAGGGGATTTTTTAGAAATGCTTGCGCCGCCGCTCTTGCGAATTCTTAAAAATCATGAGATGTTACCTAAAAGGGTTCGCCCGCGCATGTCGAAATCGTTCGAACGCCTTTGCGCGCGTGTTGTCGCATGAATCTTTTTGCGCAACAAAAAAGGGACGACGTGCACACGCGCGCGCGCCGTCGCGCGCGTATGCCGCAATCCGTCAACAACCTGTTCAGTCATGAGGATGTCAAAACTGACTGTCCGAAACCATAAACAAATCACACGGCTTCACAACATCAGTTGGTCAAAAGAGCTTGCGGTCGCGCTTTTGCGAATCCTCCATATAACCATCGGTAGTTCAACATTTTCAATAATTCTGTCAGACGGGCCTCTTGCGCCGCATGCCAAAATCATCCGAATGCCCTTGCGCGCGTGCCGGGGGGACACGATCCGTGTCAAATTAAACCGTGCGGGTCACTCTCGCGCGTCGGCCGCGCTTGCATGTAGAAATCTTTCCAAAATTTTCAGCATCGACCGAGGACGCCGTCATCGTCGTCGGCGTTATCAGCATCGGCCCCGTCAATGGCCGTGCCGCCGCCGCTGTCATCATCGTCATCTGCAGCGCTACGATCACCATCGTATCAACCGTTGTCGGCGATGCCATGATACCACGCCCGCCCAAACCGCCGACCCGCAGTGAAGTACCCGCTGGGATGTGTCCAGCGGTCAACGCCACCGCGGCCACGTCGGCCGCGCCAAACTAGCTGGCCGATGCGCGCGCGAGCATGCGCGGGTCAGCGCGGCCGCAGAGATGCCCAGGCAACACCAAGCAGTCATCGCAATCGCCGACGCATGGGTTTTGTAAACCCAGTTGCGGGTGGGTGGGTGGGATGATTGCGCACCGAAGCGCAGAAAATCATCGCAGAACATAGATCGCCTCACTTAGATTGCACAGCGCATTTTGCATTACACAGATTCTTATTCTTAAAATGAAATAGGTTCTACCACCCTCCCCCCCGGGCTAACGAATCACACTGTCGCATTGCAATTTACATACGATTCTGCCCCACCGTCCGTCCAAACTGTGAATTCTTATTTTCCCAGTCAGACCGGTGTCGCCCCTCCCCGCTCTTTTCTGGCAAAGTTTTATGCTCGCGCACTCGTCCATCAACAGTCTGAAGTTTTCAAGAGTCCACTGCCAGCCATTGCGAAACATATGACGAATTGCGCACGCGCGCGTCGTCGCGCGCGCATGCCGAAATCTTTCAAAAACCCGCAGTTTCGGAAGGGTCTCGAAATCATGTGCTCAAGCACCATGTAAAACACCATGTTTCGCAACACGGGTTTCCGAAACGAACTTGCGCTCGCGCTCTTGCGATTTCTTAAGAAAACCAGTTGTTCCCCACATTTCTTCGAACATACTACCAAACGGGCTTCGCGCGCGCATGTCGAAGTGGTTCGGTCGCCCTTGCGCGCGTGCTGGGGTGGCGCGATCCGATTCAAATATTACCATGCGGGCCATTCTCGCGCGTCTGCCGCGCGCGCATTTCGAATTTCTTCCAAAACCGTCACCACCGACGCGAAGACGCCGTCATCGTCGTCGGCGTGATCAGCATCGGCGCCGTCAGTGGCTGTCCCGTCATCGCTTTCAGCATCGTCGCCAGTATCGTTGGTATCATCATCGTGTCTACCGTTGTCGGCGTTGCCATGACACCGCGCCCGCCCAAGTCGCCGACTCTCACTGAAATGCACGCTGGAATGTGCCGCGCGGTCAGCGCCACCGCGTTCGCGTCGGTCACGCCAAACTGGGCCAAACTAGCTGGCCGCTGCCCGCGCGAGCATGCGCGGGCTAGCGCGGCTGCAGAGATGCAACAGCCAACACCCGGCATTCATCGCAATGGCCGGCGCATGGGTTTTGCAAACCAAATCGCGGGTGGGTGGGTGGGATGATTGGTCGAGCAGTGGAGTTGACAGTTTCAACTTCGGCACGTGAGTTGCACCACGTCGACTGCACCGCATTAGTTGTTCCACCTGGTGTGCATTACAAACGTACAACACCATATACCGCATGACATACACACCACAAAATAATGGCACACGTTCGATCGCAATGTATAATTTCCATGTCAAATAACAACCTGATGTAACACAGGATTTTTCCTCATCGCCAATCTGAAGTATGAATCCGTACCATCCCAGGCAGGCCGGTATCGGCACCCCCCCGTACTTGCTTTAACAAATGGGCGCGCGCACGATATTTCATCAAAACAATCATTTTCAAAGAACGCCTTGCAACAAACAGTAGTGCACACGCGCACGTTGTCGCGCGCGCGTGCCAAAATCCTTCAAAAAAACGTATGGTGTCGCAGCGATTTTAAAACCGGGTGCCGCATTTGCGTACCAAGAATCTGCTCGCAACAAGGACTGGATCCCCACATCCACAGTGGGATTCTTGTTATGTTAGGACACGCCGCGAGGTCCTCACCTCACCTCGCCCCCCTTTTCGCACACACGCACATCGGGCGGGAGCCTCGTCCATGACCGAATCGCGATGAAGTCTTAGGCGGGAGGCCCCTCTCTATGGGGCCCGCAGATCATGTTAATAATCCGAAGGGGCCATTCGATTCCTGTAGCGGTCGTCACTTTGGGGCTCCTCAGGCCAGAACGTTGATGAGTTCTCAGGCGGGAGCCTCGTCAGCGAGTGACTTGCATGGGGATCTCAGGCGGAAGCCCCGTCCCTATGTGTCCCGCACCTCATGCTCCAATCCGAGCGGGTCATCCTCAAACTGTATGTGTCGTCTTTCTTCGGCCCCTTATGGTTGACTCTGGTGGAAGTCTTCAGCGGGAGCTCTCTCTTTATAGGTCCCGTAGCTCACGTAACCAATCGGAGCCTGCACGTGTTGTCTCTTTAGGGCTCCTGTCGCTTGGATATGGAGGATGTGTCGAGTGGGAGCCTCGTTCTGGAGTGGATCGTGGGGGCGTCTCATTCTTTCGGAGCTCGATTCTCCGGTCGGCCTGCCATTGACCCTCACGGGCTACCCAGCCCTAGGGGTCTCGCACTTAGTGTTGGCAATCCGAGTGTTGTATGCCGAGCTGGTCGTCGGCAAACTTGTTACTATTATGGGCCCGCATGCCCGAAAATGGGAGTTCCCGCGGTTCCGCAGTAGCGTAGGACACAAGGGCGAGTAACGAACTGACGATGACGACGACGACGACGACGAGACGGCGGCCAGGCGCAGGGGTATCCTCCTTTGTCTGGACCGGTGGTTGTAACCCATCTTCGGCCGAATCGTGGGCGGGGTATCCCCCGGTCTCCGGGCAGCCGGTGGTGACCTATCGGCCGGCCAAATCGGGCGCAGGGGTAGCCCCTTGCGTCCGGGCCGGGGCGTCGACGGCGCCGAGGAAAACCGACGCGCGAGTTCATGCAATAGAAAGGGGAGGAGGTGGCGGGGGGGGGTAAGAGGAGGAGGAGGAGGAGGAGGAGCAGGAGGAAGAGGAGGAGGAGGAGGAGGAGGAGGAGGAGGAGAAGGAGATGGAAAAGGAGAAAGAGGAGGAGAAGGAAGAGAAGTAGGAGAGGGTGGAAGACAAGAAAACAAATAGTGATTGAGCCCTGTTGTTCTTTGGGTGGTTTGGGGGGTGTTGTGGGGGTGGCCACATCCCCCCACACACGCACACATCTTTCCACGTATATGTATACATGTGGTTGTATATTCATATCTACATACGTATATGTATTCACACATGTACATATATATGTATACATACACGCATACATAAATTGCTTGTTTCATGTGTATGTTACCCAACTCTCTCGATTCAGACATACACATTCGTACGCATGTGTATTTGTATATGCATACATACGTACATATACATCTATCTATAGACACCGCGCACAGAGTAACGATGACGTCGACCGCCGCCCGCTGGATGTGCGCTGGGGCCGGCGGCGGTTCTCCTCAGGACTCCCAGCCCTTGGAGGGCGTGCGCGGCTTCAAGCTCATGGTGGTTGGGCGGCCGGATCTACGCGTGGCTGAGTTCCAGCCAGGGCCACGGCATTTGGCATACCGCGCAATCGAGCACATGACTAAGAGGCCTCAGTTTTCTGGATCAGATGTTCGGATGTATCGTGCCGCCGGTTCTGGCCCACCACGCTTCGGCGCGACACGCCAATCATTTCCCGGCCTCCGAGCGTCAACGTCCCAAGGCCCCGCGGAGCGAAACACCACGCCATCCGCTTGCAGGGCATCGCATGTCGCCGGGGCCGCCGCCGCGACACGCTATATTCCCGACCGTAGGTCCTTGCCCTCACGTAGTGGGCCCCGGAAACGGCAGGGCCGTTTCTTTCCACTGTTTTCGAAAAGGTGTCTTTTGCACGTGGAAGCGGCAAAACAACGGCGACCAGAAACTGAAGAAAAACGGCTCCGGGATTAGAAGTGGAACCCGCATTGGCACTCCAAACGGCGACGGAACCGCCAACAACAACGGCGACGGAAGCGGCAACGAGCCTTGCAATACAGAACCGGTAACAAAAGCACAGCCCTGTGGTTTTCCAGTGCCCACGAAGGCCTCGCCCGCGGCGCGTCTCGCACTCGGCGGGGGCAGGCGGCAGCGAAGCGGCGGCGGGCCCGCCGTGGGAAGGGGCGGCGGGAGTCCAGGCGAGCCGTCGACATGTTTGGACCCCTGGTTTTCGGGGTGGGCCATGTCCATCGCCCCTGCCCAGGCCCATCCTGGGCCCAGCAGCTCGTCGGGAATGTCCCTGTACTACAGGGGGAATGTTCCAAAATAGTCAAAACCTTGTCTGGAGACCATTTTGTTGAAGTAGATCTGGATTAACAAAAAGATTGCTGGAGCATCTTTCATTCTCGGGGGCGGCAAGAAGGGGGGTGATGACTAGGGGGGGGGGGGATATCATGACGTGGGCCATGATATTTCCCCAGATCTCATGGCGCCTCGTCTTATCTCATTACATCCCTGGACCCCCCCTGGGCCGCGCACATGCCGCCGGCCATAAGTTGCACCCCCCCTCTCGGACGCCCCCCTCTTGGCCGCCCCCGAAAATCCTTTCCTCGAAAATCCCCCTTTGGAGGACATGCCCGACCGAATCCAGGGCCTAGGATCGGGTTGTACGCTTCAGTCGGGCCTGTCCCTCTGCAGGAGTGGCATCTCCCAAACTAGTCAAAACATAGTCTGGTGACGATGCCTGGACTATTTTGGGGTGTTTTTTTTTGCGCATTTGTGGAGTCAGTTTTGCATTCTCCGCCCAAAATCCGCCTGTGGGGGAGCATGCATGACCTAAGTGTAGGTCTCTTCGTCCGTCCCCAGGTGGAGCTGGTGAAGGTCGTGAACTTCTACCTGGGCAACCAGGTGAACGTGCAGACGACGGACTGGGCTGGCTCTCCTTCCTCCTCGTTCCTGATCGCGTTGTGGCAGGTTCTCTGAGGCTTCGCGCCTCGGGATGCCTTTCAGCAGATTGCGACTCGTCGAGAGCGCTCTGGGGGTGGCCGAATCGTCTGGAACACCCGTTGGAGGCCCGAGTCACGACAAGGAAACCATACCTCCTCGCGTTGTGCGCAAACATCCCGACGACCAACTTGTTTTTACAATCTTCGGCTGCGCAGGGGGCCTTCGCGAGGCCCCAAGGACCGTCATGGAATGACTCTAAACACGAAGCGGGCCCTGGGGAAGTGGTCTAAAGTTCCTTTGGCATTTCCGCGCGAGTCTGGAGTCTGGGTTGCGATGGGAATTGTGAAGATGATGATATTGATCATGATCATGATCATGTTGATGGTGATTATGATGATGGTGATGGAGATGGTGGCGATGTTGATGGTGATGGTGATGGCGAGGATGGTGCTGCTGATGATGAGGAGGAAGAGGATGATAATGATGATTATAATACTGATGACAATGGTGATGGTGATGACGGTGGTGATGATGATGGCCATGATGATGATGATGACGAAGCAGCTGCTGCTGCTGACGGTGACGATGGTGATGATGGTGATGATGGTGCTGGTGGTGATGGTGGTGATGGTGATGTTGGTGTTGATGGTGATGGTGACGATGCTGATGCTGATGTTGTGCTGATGCTGATGCTGATGATGCTGATGCTGATGCTGATGATGCTGATGATGCTGATGATGCTGATACTGATGATGCTGATGCTGATGATGACGATGACGATGATGATGATGATGATGATGATGATGATGATGATATGATGATGATGATGATGATGATGATGATGCTGATGATGATGATGATGATGATGATGATGATGATGATGATGATGATGATGATGATGATGATGATGATGATGATGATGATGATGATGATGATGATGATGATGATGATGATGATGCTGATGCTGATGCTGATGCTGATGCTGATGCTGATGCTGATGCTGATGATGATGATAGCGGTAAAGCTCGTGCAGTCCTTCTGGTGCCACCAGGCGAACGCTCAGACGTCGGGCTGAGCCTCCCATACCTCTTCGCGCCGTTAAAAATTGTCACGTGCGGAGTGTCTTACATGTGTAGGTAGAGCAGCTCGCAGGCAGTGCGCAGGCCTCAGCCGAGCTCGAGGTAGGTGCTGCTGCCTGGAGAAAGGGCAACGCACGAGATGGCTGCCTGCTCCGCACTGGTTGTGGGAAATTTGCCTGGCTCGAAGGTGTCATCGGCACGCCCCACCTGTGGGGCTGAAGTGCCTTGGGCGTTCTGCATTTACGGCTGATCTCCAGACCCGCGCGGCCGTGACTCTGAAGGCCTCCTCACGATCTGCCGCAAGTGTCGGCAGCTCACACAGGGTCAGCGGGCCAAAGGGCTGCCCTTACCCTGCAGACCAAAGTTGGAGAGCGTTCACTCTGAGTCAGACTGAGCGTTTCGCCCGCGATCAGCATCCCAGTCGCGCGGAGGCAGAAGCCCCCGGGTGGCTGCGCCGGGCCGACGAGGCTCGGGCGCATGCCGTGCGCTGGTCCCCAGATCGACTGCCTGCCAGCGTGCGCGTGTCCTCGTCCTTGGTCCCCTGCTACCCCTCAGGGGCATTTGCATGGGGGGATCGGCTCGGGGGGGGACGCATCGACCCCCCCCCAGTGGCCCATCGATCGCCCATATGGGGCCCGATATGGGGGGCCCTTCGCCGAGGCATCGGGGATACCTCGCCGCTTCTGGGTCGAGCTTCCCCCCCTCTGCCCGTCCCCTCTTATCGTTGCCCCATCGGGGCGCTACCGCTTCCGCTCCCTCCCCCGCTCCCGCTCCCGCTCCTCCTCCTCGTCCCCCTTCCTCCTCCCCCTCCTCCTCCTCCTCCTCCTCCAGAATTCCCGCGCAGTTTTTTTGTACCCTCATCGACCGATCCCCCAGAGGTGTCTGGCCCCGTTCTCTCCGGGACGGGATTCTGCCACTCCCGGGTAGCCATGTGTGGCGCTCCCGCAGGGCCAGTGCGGGCCCCCATCGGAGGCAAATGGCGCCAACATCGCAGAGCGGATATCGTGCGGAAACGAATGAGATGGGCTTGGATGGTCCTGGAGAATTTGTCCCGGGTTTCGAAGTGAAGTTGGGGCGGATTTTTTGTTGGCCAGGAATGAAACTTACAAACGTCCACGTGGAATACCGTAGCCCCCCGCAGATGCGGATAAGAGTGAGGGGGCAGTGGGGTCGTCGGCAGTCTGTGAGACCCTGGAGAAGCCCGTGACAGGCGCAACATTTTCACACATTATACAACAAGCCCGCCGCAGGCGCTGATCTTTTCTTCGAACCAATGTGGATTGGTCGCGGGTGGTTCGCGGGATGGGTCGCGGGTGGGTCGCGGGGTGGGTCGCGGGTGGGTCGCGGGTAGGTCGCGGGGTCCGTCGCGGGTGGGTCGCGGGTGGGTCGCGGATGGGTCGCGGGTTGGGTCGCGGGCTGGGTCGCGGGGTGGGCCGCGGGTGGGTCGCGGGGGGGACGACGACAACAAACAACAGCAACAACAATAACAACAACGACGGCAACAACAACAGCAACAATCAGTTTACCCTCATGCGCGAGATTTCCACACGAAGCATGCGACCATCATGATAACCATCCACGTCATGAAGGACTCTTGTGCTATATCGGGGTCCGTTAGTCCCATTCCCAGGTCTCCCGCCCAATGAGGTCTTTCAAACACCTCCTCCGAGGAAGTTCCAAGGATCCCGCCTCGAAAGCACATGCCCGCGCCTTGCTGCGCCGATGCGAGACTGCCAGAGGAACCCCGGCGAAGGGTAAAGCACAAGGAAGTATCGAACGACAGGATTGCCTTGGTGGGAATCGGGGCTGTCGGCGGTGAGGCAAGGACCTGGCCCTGAGTAGAAAGGGAGGAAGTCTCGAGCAGGGCTGCTGTTGTTGCTGGGGGCGGCGCCAATGCTGAACAGAGTAGGGCGCCAGTTCAGCGTAAAACAAAACGAAGCCTTCAGCGGGAATGCTGGTTTTGTTGGGACGGCGGCTTTCGGCGGCGAGGATGAACACCGCCTTGAGTAAGAAAGGAGGACGCATCGAGCGGGGGCCGTGGTTTTGTCTGGACGGGGGCTGTCTGCGGCGAGGAACAGCACCGCCCCGAGGAAAACGAAAGGACATCTCGAGCGGGAGCTTTGTTCTTGCTGGAAGCGCCAGCCCAGCGGAACACGGAAGAAAGTCTCGGGCGGGAGCGTTGGTTTTGTCGGGGCGGCGGTCTTCGGCGGCGAGGAGGAGCACCGCCTTGAGTGAAAAAGGAAGGACACCTCGAGCGGGAGCGGTGTTTTTGCTGGGGGCGGCGCCGATGAGTGAACGACTAGCGCGCCAGTCCAAGGTAAAACGGGAGGAAGTTTCGAGCGGGAGTGTTGGTTTTGTTAGGACGGCGGCTTTCGGCTGCGAGCAAGAACGCCAGCCCTTAGTAAAAGAGGGGGAAGTCCCGAGCGGAAGTGGTGTTGTTGTTGTGGTTGTGGTTGTTGTTGTGGTTGTTGTTGAATATTATTACTTCTAAAGAAATATTATTGTTGAGACCCCTGGTGCGCGACCCCCCTCCAAAACCTAGGCCGCAGCCTCATTTCCTTCATTTTCTAGCGAAAGCTTCAGAAAAGTGGATTGTCACCGGATCCGGTTTTTTGTTCCCCCCCGCTTTCCCTTGCAAAAAACACTATAAAATGACATTTCTTGTTCTAATATAATCAAATTTCAAGAATCCCTTGCAAAAAATAAGGTAAAGTGGACATTCGCGCGCGCAAGACGAAATCCTTCCAAAAGCTTAGTGTTCGGAGCGATTTTAACATAAAAACATCAAAAAACCAATGGTTTTTCAACAAAAAAATGTCAAAATCTCATCCCGCGCGCTCTTGCGGATTCGTAGGAAACCCAACACTTTTTAAACATTTCTGTCAAACGGGCTTTTGCGAGCAACTTTTTCGAACTTCTGCGACAACGGTTGCGCACCTGCCAGGGCCATCATCCCTGTCAAATAATACCATGCGGGACACATTCGTTTTTTCTTCGCGCGCGCACGCCGAAATCTCCAAAAACCATTGGGTTCTGTGGGTGTGTACCCCACGCCAGTGTAGTAGCCACGGTCGTCCGCACGCCACGAAGTGAAGTGTCCCAACGTCATAGGGCGGGAAGCTGGGTTTGGGTGGTCGCGAAGAGTCGTTTGGATATTTGGTAGAGCTTGTAATGCCCCCCCACGAAGTGGGGGTATTGCCTGGTGTCGTATGAAAACCCTGGCACTGGGGAGAACACCACGCGTTCGGGTAAAATGATTGTTGTTGTTGTTGCTGTTGTTGTTGTTGCTGTTGTTGGTGGTGAGCCTCATTTTCAACGAAAATACAGCCGGCGCTTCGGCGAGAGCGCCAGGGTGCCTTTATGGGTTCCAACAATAATAATTGTTTAGTGCTTAACATCCATCAGCAACAATCATGTTAAGACTGTTCGCTCTAATCTGCTCGCGCGTCATTCAATATGCATGCCCCAAACCCTGGATACCCGCCCTCTTCGTCTTCGATCGCCCCCCCCTTTTGGGTGGTATATTCATTCCCTGCCACGTGTGGTTGGTGAAGCCCTTGAAAACGAAGGGTAACAGATAACGGGGGATAATGAGGACCATGGGATCGGAGGAAGGGGGGGGGCAAGAAGCAGGAAGGACAATGACTGCCGCTGCGAGTGACGATTCAGCGTGCGCCATGGCTTGTTCCAGCCACTCACAAACAGGTTAACACTAAGTTTCGCCATGGGTCGCGCCATAAACAGTGCCACGCACCACCCCCTTGAAAGAACATGTCGGGGATACCCCCACGGGGGGACGTACAGCTGCGAACTGGCGTCAGAAGCAAATTTCGTGGAACCCTGAAAAGAAGCGGGATGTTGGGAGAGCGGGGCGGAAGGATAGTGAGATTTGCAGAGGTGTCGACAGGAACGCGGAAGCCCCAAGTGAGAGCGATTCCGCAATACATTGTGAGGAAGTATCAAGCGGGAGCCGCGATCCGATGGCAAATTGCAAGGAAGTCCCAAGCCAGAGCGCGATTCTTCAATCGAGTGTGAGGAGAGAAAAAAAAACACAGGGTGCGAGCCCCGGGAAGGGCAGTTCAATCGAAATAACAATGTGCACCGGACGGGGGGGATCAACAATAATTATTCTTCAGATATGAGAGTTCAACAGCAGCAACCATTTTAAGACTGCTCGCCCTTATCTGTTCGAGTGTCCATTAACACGTACTTCGCAAACCCTCGATACACGCCTTCCTCGTCTTCGATCGAACCTCTTTTGGGGGGTATACCTTTCTTCCCTGCAGGCTGGCCAGCGGAAGCGCTGATCGGCGGGGCGGCCGCGGACCGTCGACCCGACCCCAAGAGGGACGGACAAAAGACCGACCACGACAACGACGACGACGACGACGACGACGACGACGACGACGGCGACATCGACGACGACGGCGACGACGACGACGACGACGACGGCGACGACGAGCGAAAGCGAGAGCGAGAGATAACGACAAGGGAATGCGTATGGGGCCACGAAGAGCGCGAACGAGCGGGGGCCACGACGGGCAGATGATGCGGGACGCAGAAGGCAACGATGGGACCACTGAGGGTAGCAACTGGGCCACGCAGGACAGTGAGGGGGCCACAAACGGCGACAGCGGGGCCACGAAGGGCATGCACATGGGGCTACAACGGGCGCGACTCCTGGGTGCCTGGGTGTCGGGAGCGCGGCGCTTGAGCAAATTGCAGGAAATTCCCACGCAAGGGCGCGATTCTTCAGTAGATTGCAAGCAAGTCTCCAGCGAGAGCGCGACTCCAGAGCGCCGGGAGAGCCATTCTTGAATTAATTGGAAGGAAGTCCTAAGCGAGAGCGCGATTCCTGAAGAAAACGCGAGGAAGTCTCAGACGGGAGCGGGGGTCGTGGCTAAATTGTGAGGAAGTCTAAGGCGGTAGCCGTTGTTGTTGTAACCGGGGAGCCAGGGGCACAGGTTGAGCATCAAGAGTTTCCCTTTCAAAAAACAGGGTGCGAGCGTCGAGGGGCACACTTTGATTGAGAAAAACAATATGCACTGGTGTGGGGGGATCAACCATAATTAGTTCGACAAGTGAGAATTCGACAATACCAACAATCATTTTAAGACTGTTCGCCCATATCATTTTAAGAGTGTCCAATAACGCGTAATTCCCAAACCCTCGATACACGCCCTCTTCGTCTTCGATCGAACTTCCTTGGGGTGGTATACTTTTCTTCCCTGCTGGCCGGGCCCCGGCAAGCGGCGGGGCGGCCGCGGACTGTCGGCCTGGCCAGCGGCAGCGCTGATCGGCGGGGCGGCCGCGGACCGTCGACCCGACCCCAAGAGGGACGGACAGGGGAACGACCACGACGACGACGACGACGACGTCGACGACGACGGCGACGACGACTACGACGGCGACGACGACGTCGACGTGCGAAAGCGAGAGCGAGAGAGAACGACAGCAGGGCCACCAAGGGCACGAAGTAGGCCACGAAGTGCGACAGCGGGGACACGAAGGGAATGCGTATGGGGGCCACGAAGAGCGCGAACGAGCGGGGGCCACGAAGGGCAGATAAAGCGGGGTCACAGAAGGCAGCGATGGGGCCACTGAGGGTTGCAACTGGGCCACGTAGGACAGTGAAGGGGCCACAACAGGCGACAGCGGGGCCACGAAGGGTATGCACATGGGGCCACAACGGGCGCGAACGAGCGGTGGCCACGAAGGGCATACGTATGTGGGACCGCGGAGGGCAAGGACGGGCCACTGAGGGCAACCACGGGGCCGCGAAGGGCAGCGAGGGGGCCACGAAGGGCGACAGCGGGGTCACGAAGGGCATGCATATGGGGCCACCACGGGCGCGAACGAGGGGGGGCCAAGAAGGGCATACATATATGGGGGGCCACGAAGGGCAACAACGGGGCCACGAAGGGGTGCAACGGGGCCACGAAGGGGAGCGAGGGGGCCACGAAGTGCTGCAACGGGGCCACGAAGGGGTGCAACGGGGCCACAAAGGGCAGCGAGGGAGCCACTAAGGGCTGCAACGGGGCAGTGACACAAAGCGAGGGGGCCACGAAGGGCTGCAACGGGGCCACGAAGGGCTGCAACGGGGCCACGAGGGGCGATCCTGATTCCTAGGTAATCAACAAGGGAGTCCTAACCGTGAGCGCGATTCCTGGGTGCCTGGGTGTCGGGAGCGTTGCGCTTGCGTAAATTGCCGGAAATTCCAACGCAAAGGCGCTTCGTTAGTAAATGGCTAGCAAGTCTCCAGCGAGAGCGCGACTCCAGAGCGCTGGGATAACGATTCCTGCGTAATTTGTATGGTAGCGTCACGCGAAAGCGCGATTCCTGAATAACATGCGATGAAGTTTTGGGCGGGAACGGGGGTCCTGGCTAAATTGTGGGGAAGTCTAAGGCGGGAGCCGTTGTTGATGTAACCTGGGGGCCACGGGCACAGTTTGTGCAACAAGAGTTTCCTTGTCAAAACAATCAGGGTGCGAACGTCGAGGAGCACCTTTTGATTGAGAAAAACAGCCACGCACCCGAGGACAATGAATGACCGTTCTGCCCCCTCACTCTGATAAGGAGCAGGCTGCCGTCATGATCCCTTCGCAGTGCGAGGAGGTCTGGGGAGGCCAGGGTCAAGTCGGGCATGTCCCTCTACAGGAGAAGAGCTCAGAAAGAATCCAGTGATAGTAGTGGTGCGATGTTTCTACTATGTTTGTCTATTGTTGAACATGTTCTGATTTGTTGTCCATTTGTCATTCAAAACACGCCTGTAGGAGGACCTTCCCGACCTGGGCCCAGGGCCCCCCCACGCGCCCCCGCAGGACGGGGAGGACGAGTACCCGGTGACAGTCGGCAAGATGATCGAGACCAAGACGAAGGACGGGCGCGCGGAGCGGCCGCGCAGCCTGCAGGGCTCATTTCGATTCCTCCGATTCGATCGGGTTCGATTTCGATGGCCTCCGATTCCGATTCCGTTCGACTTCGGACCCTGCTTTGGGATCCGATTCCTCTCTGGAGGCCTGCCAGCCCGCCGATGTCTGCCGATTCGACTTCTCCCGGCGTGGCTGCCGATTTCCGCCGATCCGGTGCATGTCGATCGCCGATCCGAATTGTCGATTCGGTTCTGGGCTCGCCTGCATCTGCAGGGCCCCGTGTTGGTGGGCGTGGCGCCGCAGGGGCGGCAGCGGAGGGAAGGTTGGAGGGAAGGGGGGGGAGAGGGGGGCAGGAGGAGGAGGAGGTGGGGCAGAGAGTGAGGAGGGGGAGGGGGAGTGTGGAGGAGGAGGAGGACGATGATGATGAGGAGGAGGAGGCGGAGGAGGAGGAGGAGGAGGAGGCGAAGGAGGAGGAGGAGGAGGAGGAGAAGGAGGTCGACGTCAGCGACGACGACGACGACGACGATGACCAACAACGGGTGGTGGGTAGGAGAGCTGTGTAGCTTAGCACGTCCGTACTCCGTACAAGAAGGACGAGGAGAGGAAGGAGGAAAACGACCAGGAGGACGAGAAGGAGGAGGAGGTGGAGAAGGAGGAGGAGGGTGAGAGGGACGGGAATCATCGGGGAGGAGGCCAACGGTTTCCCTTGTCCTCATTAATTCCCTCCTGTCCTTCTCCTCCCCCCAGCCTGCTTCCCAAGCGCAAGCGTTCCGAGGCGCCTCCATAGCCATTTGAAATTTGGCTTCTGTATAACCTCTCCGTCGCGTCCCAGCACCTTGTCGCGACGTGCTTGCAGCTACTTCTGATGGCGCGGTTGGCATCATGCTCCAGTCCACCAAGCTTGGGACGAACGGTTCGTAACACGTGTGAGTCCGGCTGTTTTCTCTCCACCGGTTCCTGCCTGCTCTCCGCCGGCGGCGTCCGTCCCAGGTGGAGGTCCTGCTTGGCTGGCTGTGCCCAACATGCGCTTCACACCTGGGCTTGCTTCAACGTCGGGGCTGCAGTGGGACATGATGTATTCCTGCATCTGGTTTGTTTAGCTCCTAGAAGCTGCACCACCGGGGCAGTCCACGGCAGCTCAGTGCTGCCCTTGGCACCGCGGTCGTGCCCAAGGTTTAAAAAAATGCACTTCGTGAGCGGCGTTCGTCCCAGGCTGGTGGAGGTCCCAGCGGGCTGTGCCCAACCTCTTTGCTGGGGCGCACTTCAACTCTGGAACTGCAGTTTGGGGCGGGTTCGTTCCGATTTGGAATCACTTGAAGTAGCTTGGTCGATGCACTCCTCTCGCTCACGCTCGGAGTGGCACTTGTGGAGATGCACCACGAACACTGGTCATTGTGCAGGCGGCGGATGTCAGGTTCCCTGCGCGGCCTGGCGCGAGCGGCTGTCGTGAAGCTGCTTGACGCTCTTTGTGGGTGGATTGGGGCTCGGCAGTACCGCTCGGGTGGATTATGCTCAGCCGTTCGCCCAGCCGCTGGTTTCTATCGGTGCCAGGAGAGATTGCTCGTATACTCGGGTCGGCCTGCAGTCTCTACGCAACAAAGCTTCGTGCGCGGTGACTGTGAAGCCTAAAGACGCAGATCGCGTTTCAATGTGTGCTATGCCGTTCAGTTTGGTTGGCAACTGGCAACTGTTCTCGTCGCGCATTAAATTGGGGCGATTATTTTTTTTCCCTCCCGCCGATCACGGAGCCATTCTTGACATGTGGGCACGTTGTCTCTTCATTGGCTTGTGTCTCAGTGTATTGGGTCATCTGCATGGGACTTCAGTTCTGCGTCGCTTTGGGCAGAGGAATTTGGAATCACGGAGAAGGCCCATGGCGCAGGTCGGGCCGTGAAGTATTACCACATGTCGATGGCTGCTTGTCTTGAACAGGAGGCACCTGATGTCACTGGCACCGCCTCTGTTCCTTGCTCCTGCCCCCTGCCTCCCTCCTCTCCTCTTTGCTCACTCCCTCCCTCCCGATCCCTTCCTGCTTATCCTCCCCCTCCGTGTTCGTCACCCACCCTCCCTCCTCGTTCCCAATTTTGTCGGGGCGCCAGGTGGCCTCGGGGATACCTCCGATGCTGGGGTCCGCCTAGGGGCGTTTAAGCCCCCTCCCCCATGGCATAAACCCGCTTCTCAGCGCACTCGAGGGGCTTGGGTGAATTTGTCGTGCCTTGCTGTCTCCCATCCGCATGCCAGATTTGAACCGACCCGTGCCCCTGCTGAGCCCGCCGCCCCGCCCTCCTCGTCTCCCCCCCCAACGGCCCTGACGCTCGTCGCTCGCTGTGCTTTACGTAGGGCGAGCTGGGCGAGCCCGAGACCGGCTTGCCCTCTGCAGCGCGCGCAGGCCACCCCGGGGCGACTGGTCGGTCCTCCCTGGCTCTTGCCTCCCTCCCTCCCGGGCCTCCCCTCCCCCTGCCGTCGCCGTCCCTCCTGATGGGCGTGTTTTCCACCACCACCACCACCACCACCACCACCACCACCACCACCACCACCACCACCACCATCAGTTGGAGGGGGAGGGGGTCCTTTTCCTCCTCCTCCTCCGCCTCCTCTTCCTCCTCCTCCTCTCCGTCCTCCTCCTCCTCCTCGTCCTCCTCCTCCTTCCCCTCCAACTTCTGGTGGTGGTGGAGAAGTATATCCCAGCCCTTCTGCCCCTCGCTCCCACTTCCCCCCTCTAGAGATCCCCCCCTTCTCCGGAGCGCCGCGGGCCTCGCCGCTGCGCCCCCGGTGCAGGAGGAGATCTACGGGATCTACGCCTGGAACGCGGTCACCTGCCAGGAGCGGGGCCCGGGGAGGAGGGTCGGACGGGGCTCGGGGGCGAGGAGAGATCCGCTCCCAGACATGATCGCGTCGTGAAAAAATCAAGACGGGCAATTTTTGGCCATGTTCGGCCCCGGGGGGGGGCCTCGCCAAGCCTCGGGACCGTCGAACAACGTCCCAGGACGAAAAACCGGTCTCGGGGAAAGGGTCGGGACTCCCAGCGACGCCGTCCTGAAAAAATCAGGACGTCGCATGTCTTGACTTCCGGAGCGGTCTGGAACGCTCTCGGAGCGTTCTGGAACACTCTGAGGGGGCCGCGGCGCCCGAGGCATCCTCAAGAAGAGCGGCTGGATATCCGAGATCCTCAATCCATCCGCACCCGATTGGATCCTCATCCTGGCTCCGTCTTACACCGGGGAAACGTAACACGAGTAAGATGGACCTCGGGTGTGCCGATGTCTTTTTGACGAGCGCGTCCTGGATTTTGACGGCGCGGTTTTCGTGGGGATGCCTTCAGCGGGAGATCGCGTCGGATTTCAGAGTGGGCCCCGCCGTTTTTTCATGATGGCCCCGTCGGGCCAACTCGAGTCCCCCGAACCCGAGCCTTACGCCTCCCCGATTAGAGTTAGGTCTGGTCTGCCCCTCTACAGGGGGGATTTTCAAAACATGTCAAAACATCAGGCGGCTAGTTTTTGAGCCTTTCTGGACCATTTTGGAATATGGTCTGAATCTTTGTTGTTGTTCGTCGAAGATCCCCCTGTAGGGGGACAGGCCCGACTTGAGATTCGAGGGGGGGTGGCGCGGGTTGCTGCCCCTCTCCGCGCTGCGGGGGCGCGGCGGCACGCGTTGCGACCCCTCTCCGCGCTGCGGGGGCGCGGCGGCGCGCCCACACGCCCCACGGGGGCCTCCTTCGGGGAGCCCGTACGGCGCCCGAGCCCGCCTGCAGCGGGGCGGGCGCCCGGAGATGCTCGGGCGCCCGCGGCGCCCGCGCGGGCCCAGGGCGTAGATCGGCGGCAGGGCGGAGGAGGAGGAGGAGGAGGAGAAGGAGGAGGAGGAGGAGGAGGAGGAGGAGGAGGAGGAGGAGGAGGAGGGAGGAGGAAATGTGGGAGGAGGAGGGGGAGGAGGAGGAGGACGGACCTGAGCTCTGTGTTGCTGGATTTCGGCTGTGTTTTGTTTTTCGTTTTTGTGGAGGGAGGTGCAGGACAACAGGCACGGCAACACTGAACACAAAACGACAACAACACGAACAGCAACGTTCACGTCCAGCCCTGATCGGCGGAGCGTAGATAACCCAGAGATCCGACGTCGTGAGTTTTTTCAATGCGGGGTCCCCGGAAGTCTCGACCCATTCCCCAGGACCGGTTTTCCGACCCGAGTCGTTTGTTGACGGTCCCGAGTCCGGGCGAAGGCCTCTAGAGGCCGAGAACGGCGAAGAACTTACGTCTCGATGTTTTCCATGCGCTGGGTCTCTGGACGTCCGTCCGAGACAGGTCGGGCAACGCCTCGCCGATGCCGCCCCGCGGCCGCGCGCCCGGCCTCCGGGGAGCCGCCTGCGCGGCTCGGGCGCCTGCGGCCGGTCGCCCCGCTGCTGCGCTGTGGCGCGCGCGACCCGCGTCTGCCTTAGAGGCGCTGCCGGCTCCCGGGGCCCCCTCGCGTGTCTGTACAATGCCCAACAGCAGTTCCGGTTCATTTTGAACCGGACTCGCTGTCCGCGCCGCCGCGGCCTGTGTCCGTTTGAGACAGAAGGCCGCCTGCCCAACAGCGGCCGCTGTCGGTTTGGGACAACATTTATTTGTTGGGCATTGTACCCATTCTCTCCGTGCCCATGTCGGGGCCCCCTCGCGCGGCGAGCGGATCGCGGCGGGAGGTCCTTCGCCACGCGCGGCCTCCGGGGACCCCGACCCCGGGCCTCGCGGGGCCGCCCGAAGACAACTCGGGGGGGAACATTCAGTCGGGCGTGTCCCCCTACAGGGGGATGTTCGACGAACTATATATCTATCTATCTATCTATCTATCTATCTATCTATCTATCTATCTATCTATCTATCTATCTATCTATCTATCTATCTATATATATATATATGTATATGTTACCTAACAGCTCTTGCTGATAGGTTTCTAGTGGTCTCAAAAGAGAACATCATGACTCCTCAGGGGGGTCTGGGCGGGACCCAGGGAGGCTGCCGGCGCTCTGCCGCCGCCACCCAAATCGCCTGAGACATCCTCGCAAAATCGCTCTTGGCGCTCCCAGAACTCCATTCCCGGGCCACATTTTGGATGCCCGGAGCCAACTGTAGGCCACTTCGTGGTCTTCGAGTTCCCAGAACTCCATTCCCGGGCCACATTTTGAATGCCCGGAGCCAACTGTAGGCCACTTCGTGGTCTTCGAGTTCCCAGAACTCCATTCCCGGGCAACATTTTGAATGCTGAGGCAGGCTGATGCTGAGGCTGAGGCAGGCTGAGGCTGAGGCAGGCTGAGGCTGAGGCCGAGGCTGAAGGCAGACTGAGGCTGAGGCTGATGCAGGCTGAGGCTGAGGCTGAGGCAGGCTGAGGCTGAGGCTGAGGCTGAGGCAGAGGCTGAGGCAGGCTGATGCTGAGGCAGGCTGAGGCTGAGGCTCCAAAATTGTCACGCAAAAAAATGAGAAATAGTCCCCATATTATTTTGCGACTATTTTTGAACATTCCCCCTGTAGAGGGAAAGGCCCGGCCCGACGTAAGGGAGAAACCGGTCCGGGGGCAGGGCTCGAGACCTCTGGGGATCAACGTTCTGAAGAAGGCACGGCGTCGGGGGTCTGGGGAGGATGCTGGCCAAGCATCCTGCGAACATCTTCCCCTGCATGTCTGGCCGCAATGCCGGACCCTCCTCGGGAGAAAGCCAGAGCCCCACTCAACATGTGGGGAAATAGTTTGGGGACGCTTTTTCCAATATGTTTGCCTATGTTATTTGAGCATTTTCGGCCATGTGTCACGTTCCTTCTAAAATTTGCCTGCAGGAGGAGATGCCCGACCTGATGTAAGAGGGGCCTTCAGTGAAGGAGTATAAGAAAACTGACAAAAGATGGTATGGGGACAATTTTTTGCACATTTTTCCGTATTGTTGAATCTTTTCGGGGTATGTTTGCATTTTCATCGAATATCCCCACGTAGGGGGACATGCTCGACCTTAAGCCTTTCGCCGCAGTGACCCGTGGTGCGACGCATTCGGGGGGCCAGGAGCGTCTCGGCTGCGCTCGCTGGCGCTCCCGTCGCTTCTCGGAGGCTCTCTCGTCCCCGCATGCGCTCCGGCAGCTGCCCCGCGCCGGTGGAGAGCGCCTCCCGAGGAGTCCCCCGCGGCCGCCGGAGGCCCGAGCCGCTCGGACCCGACAGCCGCGCGAGCTGCTGCCAGAGCGGCCGTTGTCGCGCCGCCCTCGGGGGGCGCCAGGGGGGGGGGAGCCCCCCAAGTCCGAGCACGCGCGCCGCTGTGCTGACGCATCCCGCGCGCCGATCGGCGAGCCGCGCGCGCCCCAAAGCTTTACCCTGGCCCTGGGTCGCTCCTTCGTGAGCAGGCAGCACAGTGAGCTAAAGTCAGGAGGGGGAACAGAAAAACACGGACACAATTGATCGTCGACTCCCAGGGCCATACGGGAACATCTGGGAAGCGGGGAGGAAGCCGAGAGCCCAGACAATACGAGAACATGTGGGGAATCCTGGGATGTGTGTCTACTCATTTGTGTGTCCCAGGGCCCCCTCATAAAGACCAGCTCGGGCTCCAGGGGGGCCCTGGTTTTCGTACCGCTCCTCGGGTCGGCGGTCCTTGTTGTCGTGGCCGCCGAGGCACGCCGTGGCCAGGGAAGCGACCCCGTTCCTCGTGCGGCGCTCCTTATGCTCCTTGGCACGATGGCTGCAGTCCCGCCCGTTGGGGATGCGCTGCTGCGCGCTGACAGGGCTGCGGCCCCACTTCGATGATCGTCAGGACGTGTGTTAGCCCAGTGTGTGTTCGCCCCCCTTCAGATGGGGCCCGCAGAGGTTTGAGTTCGTCGAGCTCTGATGCGGCGGAAGTCCAGGTCAGCGGCCTCTCCAGCCTCTGCGGCCCCCCTCCCCGCGACGGCCACCACGACATGGGGCCGCAGCCCAGCCAGCGCGCATTGGCGGCGCTCAGAGGGGGGTAGGGGGGAGGGGGGAAGGCTTCTCAGAAGCACACCTGCTTCTTAGAAGGCAGGGGCCTTCACTACAGATGTAGGGGCGGAGCCTTCTAAGATGCAGGTGTGCTTGAAAGAAGCCTCCCCCCTCCCCCTACCCCCCCCCTCTGCGCGCCGCCAATGCGCGCTGGCTGGGCTGCGGCCCCATGCCGTGGTGGCCGTCGCGGGGAGGGGGGCCGCAGAGGCTGGAGAGGTCGTCGAGTTCGTGATGCGGCGGAAGGCCAGGGGGCGGGGCGCAGGGCTGACGCGGTGAGGTGCGCCGTGTCCTCGGGAGCTCGAGGCATTCGTAGCACGACGAGGGCTGTAGACAGAGCGAGACCCGACAGTGACGGGCAAGTTTTAAACCACCGCTGCCAGATGTAGAACGGGGCAGAAGGGAGGATGAGGAGCTCCTCCTCCTCCTCCTCCTCCTCCTTACCATCCCTCTCCTACCCATGGTAGTGGTGGTGGAAAGCTGGCCCAGCAGACAGGACATGGAGACCCGCGCCGAGTGGGAGAGCGCCAAGCCCCACGTGGGCGGCATCCTCGGCATGCCGCCCAAGGAGCAGAAGAAGGTGCCGCGGGGGGCGGCGCCCTCGCGGGCCGCTCCTGCTCCAGGAGCTGGCGGCGTGCGAGCTCCAGCGGGCACTGGAGCGGTCTTCTCTTTGGCCCAGTTCGCGTCCTCAACTCGTGGAGTCGTCGTTCTGCGGGCAGCAGTTGTATCCATATCCAGTGCGTCGTGGGCTCTCTTGGAAGGGGCGCCACGAGGCCGAGGCGCACTGGATATGGATTTAAACCGAGCCTCGGGGGGGCGCAACTTTATCCATAGCCAGGGAAGGGAGCCCGACACTCCACGCTGCAGCGGATGTGGACAGAAGTCTTGCCCGCACGTTCACTGTGTCAGATCGTCTGAGGGCGTTGCAAGGTCTCATCGCTGATGCCGCGCAGGGCGTAGTTTCTGACGACTGGGCGCATCCCGCATGTGCAGTGGCTCTGGCACCCACCGAGGGAGTACAGCGAATCAGATGTGCCGGTTGTGAAAAGACAGCGGAGCACGGAGCAATGATAGTGACCAAGACAACCTCTCGTCGTGAGCAAAACATGACAAGTTGATTTCCAGATGTTCGGCCTGTGGAGGCTTTCGCCTGGCCCCAGCTGCCGAACAGCGGCTCGTGATGGACAACGGCCCGGTTGAACGGGGTCCAAACCTTATGGGGGACCATACCGTGAGAGAACATGACGCCAGGGGGGTGGGGTATGATGAGACGCGCGTTCCAAGTGCCGCCGATACGGGGCGCTCCCGATGGTGCTCGGGTTCGCTTGGAGGCCTGTGGGGCCGTCTGGGGGCCCTCTCGGGGCCATCGTAGGGGGAGAGGCCTCTTGAGGAGGTCTTTGAGCCTCCTCGGGGCTTCTTGGAAGCCTTTTTGGCTGTCCTAGGGCGTTCCTGGCCCGTCGGACGCCATCGGAAGCCGTCTTGGGCGCCTCGCTGTGTCGTCTAGGAGCACTCTGGGAGCGCTTCAGTGCCGTCTTTGAGGCTATCTCGGCCGTCTGGGGGGCCCATCTGGCCGTCTTGGCGGATTTGCATGTCTCCCAGGCCCGCGCAGAAAACGGAGCACAGACGCACCCCCACCCCCCTTCCCCGGCAGAGCTCCGCCAGCCCCTCCCCCCCCCCAGCAGAGCTGAAGCTCAGGCTGTGGGCTCTGCACGAACGAAATGGGTACGGAAAGAATGGGTACAATGCCCAACGGCAGTTCCTGTTCATTTTGAACAGGACTCGTTGTCTGTGCCGCCGCGGCCTGTGTCATTTGAGACAGAAGGCCGCCTGCCCAACAGCGGCCGCTGTTGGTCTGGGGCAACGTTTGTTCTTGGGCATTGTAACCATTCTCTCCGTGCCCATTTCGGGCGTCCAAATAGGCTGTAGCTCAGGCTGCAGCTCAGGCTCTTTGAAACGCACGCTCCGGACCGGCGGATCTCCAGGCCCTCCTGCTGCTCCGGTCGGAGATCCAGAGCTGTAGGCTGTAGCTCAGGCCGCAGCTCAGGCCCTTTGAAACGCACGCTCCGGACCGCGCGGACCTCCAACATCTGTTGCTGGGCATTGTGCCCATCCTTTCCGTGCACGTGTCGGGCTGTAGCTCAGGCTGCAGCTCGGGCTCTTTGAACCGCGCGCTCCAGATCGCGCGGATCTCTCCGTCCTCCTCCTGCTCCGGGCGGGAGCTCCAGAGGTGCAGGGGCCGCCGGCTGGCTCTGGGTGCTCGCGGGGGCGCCTCCCTTCGCCAGGTCGTAGCGTGTCGTGGCATGCCATCTCCTGGGCATCGCCCGGGCGCGCGCCGTTTTGTTCGGCGAGGACCCACGAGGAGGGGGAGGAGGAGGAGGAGGAGGAGAAGGAGGAGGAGGAGGAGGAGGAGGAGGAGGAGAAGGATGAGAAAAGGTGGATGAGAAGGAGGAGGAGGAGGAGGAGAAGGATGAGGAAAAGGTGGATCAGCAGGAGGAGGAGGATGAGGAGGAGGACGAGGAGGAGGAGGAGAAGGAGGAGGAGGAGGAGAACGGGAGGAGGAGGTGGAAGAGGAGGAGGCGGGAGCACGGACGCGCGCGCATGTTTTCTCGGCGAGGACCCTCGAATCAAGCAGTGGCGAAGCGTCCTGGCTCGCCTACAGCCCTACCAAACAGTGTTCTAAGACCCTTTTGTGGTCTCCACGAGATGTTCTCAGAGCAGTTCTGGCGGAGTCTGTCTTGTTTTATCACATCGGGTTTCTGGTATAAGAGCCCTGTTTTCGTTCTCAGACCATTTTGAGGTTCTAGGGACATTCCGCGGCAGGACTACAGGATTGCCTGGACGGTCGGCCCCTGCCCCACGACGGGCGTGGCATTCACGACACGGACGTCTTGCACGCACGAGGCCGGGAGGCTGCACGGGGGATATGGAGGTCGCGCACACGAAGAGGGGCAAGGCTCCGGGCGCGGCGCGGGAAGCAGCCAAGCGCAGATCAGGAGAGAAAGAAACACAGACACAATTAATCGTCGACTCCCAGGAAAATATAGGGGAAATATGGGAATTGGGGGTGAAGACAAAAACCCAGACAATATGGGAAAATATAGTGAATTTGATTATTTGTGTGTATTTATTTGGGTGTCCCAGGGCCCCTTCCGCAGAGGGGTGCGGGGGGAGGGCCTCTCAGAAGCACCCCTGCTTCTCGGAAGGCGCGGGCCTCATCCATAGATGTAAGGAGGGCGCCGTCTAAGAAGCAGTTTCTTTCTGAGAAGCCCTCTTCCCTCCACCCCCTCGTGTGCACCGCCAAGGGAACCTGCGCGGAGGGGGCCGAGGGCGACAGGGTCTCGGCAGGGGTTGGGGATCGTTTGGGGGGGCCGCCCGTCCTCACAGCGAGGGGAGAAGACGGGGGGGGAGCCTCCCTTCGGCGGCGAGCGAGGGGGGGAAGTGAGAAGGAGACGGCCTTCCGGACTCCGCCCCCTTGAGAAGTGCTGCGCGCCTTCGGGGAAGGTCCAGGCATCTCCTCAGAAGGCCCGGGGGGACTTCCGAGCCCTCCGGGGACGTCCACCCCTTCTCATGTTCCTACCCCCGAGCTCGCCGCCGATCCATGACAGTGAAGCCCAAGCCCGCTCGAATTGTGGAGAGGTCATGGCGCCAGGCGGCAGCTCTCCTCCTCCTCGTCAGCAGCAGCATCATCATCCTCATCCTCTTCCTCATCCTCTTCTTCCTCCTCCTCATCCTAGTCCTACTCCTTCTCCTCCTCTTCCTCCCTCAGATCTTCGGTCGGGGCTCACGAGACGGGTGTCAATTCAAACGGGGGTCGATCGGCCAGAGCGCCAGAGCCTCCCTGATTTGGGTTGGGCGTTTCGTAATGGGAGGGCTATGAACGGGCTTGGAGAGGAGAGGTGCACCTCTGGGGTCCGCACCGGGGCCCTAAACAGGCCCTCCTGGGCCCGAAAGGGGCACAAGACGTGCGCGTTTCTCGTGCCACCCACGTATCGCCTCCCACGAAGCAACTTCCAATAAAGGGCGGGGTCCACGTATCGACACAAAACAGAAAACAAGACGTCGGGGATATGGCAAGAGGTGGACCGTCAAACAAACAATACAAAGCAGCACAGGACAGGGGGAGCTGGCCCAGAGGAAGGGACCCGTTTACCTCGGGGCCCGTGTTTGTTTATGTTATTGCCCATCCTCCCTCCTCCTTGTCTCTTCCGGGCTTTTGTTTTCCCGCTGATTAACCCACGCCCGTTCCCTTGGCTATGGCTTCGGTGGATGGTAGGTCGGGCCAGTGGGAATCTCATGCAGTAGATCACGCGCGTGTCTTCTCCACATCCTCCATTTCCTCCTCTTCCTCTTTCTCCTCCTCCTTGTCCTCGACTCCTCCTCCTCCTCCTCGTCCTCCTTTTCCTCCTCCTCCTCCTCCTCCTCCTCCTCCTCCTCTCCTCCTCCTTCCTCCTCCTCCCTCCTCCTCCTCTCCCCTTCTCCTCCTCCTCCTCCTCCTCCTCCTCCTCCTCCTCCTCCTCCTCCTCCTCCTCCTCCTCCTCTCCTCCCCTCTCCCTTCGGCGAGGTCTTTTGTCCAGCCCGCCCCTGGAGAGGGCCCCTTTCTCTGCTGCGGGTGCAGCTCCGCCGCTGTCCTCCTTGAGGTGCTGGCACCCTGCTCCGCAGGTATGCACAGCGTCCCTCCCCGGTGAGCCGCGCCGCATTTTTTCCCAGGGGGCCCTCCATGGGGACTTTTCAAACCCCCTCGAGTCATGACAAAAATCACGACCTGAGTTGTTTTGTTATTTTCGTCCTCTGGGGGCCCTTGCGGGTCCTCGGGACCCGCAAGAGACGACTCAGGAGGAGAAGCCGGTCCGGGGGGATAGGTCGAGACCTCTTGGGGTCGACATTGCGAAAAAAAATGACGTCGGGGGTCTAGGTTCGATGAACCAAGACTGTGGCGCGCCCGAGAAAACTGCAGACATGTGGGCTTGAACAGTCTCCACTCTTCGTTCTCTGCAGGTCAGCAGTGTCTTGGCTTACGGGGGCCCTGATCTACTGTCTCGACGTCCTCTCGCCTCACCGCGGCCGGTGTCGCTCCTCCTCGTTTGCCTTCGTCGTGCCGCCCTCAGGGCCCAAGGCCCCCCGCGTCGTGCACGGAAACCTGTCGGAAGGTCTTGTTGGCCGTTTGCGGCCTCCGGGGGTCCTCTCTGGGCCCTGGGACTGTCAAGCAATGATTCGGGATGGAAAAACGATCCCCGGGAATAGGTCCAGACCCCTGGGGCTGCACGTCTTTAACATCGGTGGCGAGCGAGGGCGGGGAAGTGAAAAGGCGCGGGCCTTCTCAGAAGGCTCGGAACTCCCCCGGCCTTCTGTGATTTGTTCTAAGCCTTCCTGGAAGACACCAGCAAAACGTCTTAGGAGGTGCGAGGGCTTCTGGGAAGTCCCGCCACCTTCTCACTTCCCCCTGGGCTCGCCGCCGAGAAAAGGCATGTCGTCGGGGGCCTGGGCCCGCAGCAGGACTGTTCGGCCGCTGCCGCCGAGAGGAGGGCTACCGTTGGCAGGGAGTCCAAGGATGTCTTCCTGCACGCGTTTTGCCACCTGACCCCCCAGTTTTGCGTAGTGCTGGCCCCAGTCCTGCAGACTGGTTCATGTACAGTCGGCCCGCTGCAGAAGGAACCCTTGTCCTTTCTGGGGAGGGGACCAATGTTCCTGAATGGTTTTGCCCTTGTCCTAAGGTGTAATTCATGGACAAATCAGGCTGCGTGTTTTGTGATTGCGTTTCGATTGTATTGCGTAGTGCTGGCCCCAGTCCTGCACCCTGCTTCGTGCACGCTGAGCGCCACGAGGTTCTTGAAGGTCTGAAAGACGGCTCCCTTTGTTCCCCCGCTCTTCCCCTTCTCTGTCCCGGGATGGGGGCCACCCCTTCACGGCCCCCGGGTCTCTGCCACGTGGGGAGGAGGAAGACCTCGGTCCTCGAAGAATAGGCCCTCTTGAGCCTCGAAGCCCTCCTCCTCGAAGGCTCAGAGGTACAACGACTCGTTCGATCCTCGAAGGCGAGGCCCTTTCTGGGAACGGTCCTCCTCGTCCTTGTCGCCGCCGCCGCCGCCGCCGCCGCCGTCGTCGCCGCCGCCGCCGCCGCCGCCGCCGCCGCCGTCGTCGTCGTCGTCGTCGTCGTCGTCGTCGTCGTCGTCGTCGTCGTCGTCGTCGTCGTCCTCGTCGTCGTCCACGTGGTGGGGCGCCAGCGCACCGCCCGCCCATGTCGCGCGCCATGCACGGGCGCTGGCCGTGGTGCGTCACACGCGTGGCACGCGCATCGGGCACTCCTGGTCCCGCTGCCCTCTGAGGCTTCCGAGGCTCCGTGTGACAGCGCCGCGCGCGAGCGGTCGTCCTGCGGGTGCTGATCCGAGGAGCGGCCTCCAGAGAGGGTCCTGCAGCTCTTGACGTCAACAAACAAAAGACCTTTTGAGCCCGTTCGGCGCCCGCGCCCCTTCGGCCGCCGAGCGGATTGTTTTGTTTCACAAAGATTGAGCACGTGCGGCAGGCGAGTGAGTGGGCGCCGGCGCCGCACGGGCTCAGAGCGGAGCTCTGGGGCAGAAGGGACCTCGCGACGGGCAGGTCCTTACAGCTGTCGGCCTCCAGCGGGCGTTGGCGGGCCCCGTCCCCGCCAACGCGCGACATGGAGGGGGGTCCGCGCGCTCGGATGCCGAGCGGGCTCAGAGGGTACCTGGGGGTACCCCCCCCTTTCCATGCCCTCCAAGAATCCCCTTCTCTTACCTGCCCGCCTCTCCCTCCTCCCTCGTCTCTCTCTCTCTCGCTCTCTCTCTCTCTCTCTCTCTCTTTCTCCCTCTCCCTCTCTCAACACAAGCAGGTGCTCGAACGCATGGTGACGCGCTGGGCCAACATGTTCATCAAGCAGAAGATGCAGGAGGCCTGGCCCATCCCAGCCCCCATCTCCCCACCCCGCTCCCATCTCTTTTACGACGGCGCTGGATTCCAGAAGCAAGGCAGTTCCTGCTCCAGAGGAGGATGAGAAGAGGATCCAGATGGCGAGAGGAGGCGGAATATGGGAGGAGGTCGATGCTGATAATGAGGGGGAGGAAGAGGGGAAATATGAGAGCAAGGCCATGCCCAAGAAGAGGAGGAGGAATAGAAAGAAGGAAGACGCAGGATCAGGAGGCGAAGAAGAGAATGATGACTCGCAGTGGGGGGCTGATCGGGGAAGAGGAACTCCAGGATCAGAACGACGTCCGCCAACACCACGACGGCGACACCGACGACAACCGCGGCAACGCGCCTCCGCGCGACCCCCCGCAGCCCCGTACCCACCCAGTCCTCGGCGCGCAGGATACGAAGAGAGGGCCACGCCCTGCGCCACTCGCGTCTGCATAAGGGTTTCGTCCTTCGCCAGGCCAGGTCAGTTTGAGACCGCCTTCCTATGGGACTGCAAAGAACGACCCTCGGGCCTGCCAACGGGGGGGAGGGAGGGGGGAGCGCGTGCTGGCTGGAGTTCTGAGGCGGATCCAGCCGTGCCCACATGTGCAGGGCGGTCGGGGAGTCTCTAGCAAGGGGGGTGGCATCCCAAAGTCTCGGTCGACGAGCCTCCACGAGCCTGGAGCCTTCGATCCTCGAATCTTCGGTGTCATTGTCCTATGGCCGACCTTGAACCTCGGGGCTCGCTACGTCTGCGCGCATTGAAGAGGAGCAACGTCCTCCATCCTCCTCCTGTTCTTCCTCGTCTTCCTCCTCCTCCTCCTCCTCCTCCTCCTCCTCCTCCTCCTCCTCCTCCTCTCCTTCTCCCGTCCTTCCATTGTATCCCCTTCTAGCATTGTGTTTTCCCCTTCTCGTTCTCAGGCCCTCTGTTCCACCCTCCCATCCGCTTCTTCGGATCGCCCAAGGCCTGGCTCGCCCTCGGGGTTTTGTGGATGGGGAGTTTGACACCCCTAGCGCGGCCGCGCGGCCACTCCCCCTGGGTCAGAACAACATCACCCTTAGCCCAGCCAGTGGACGCGATCGGACAGAAACTCCGAGGCAGATCCAGCCGTGAACACGAACCCACGTATCCTTTCTGAGCCCGCTCGGTATCTGAGCCCGCTCGGCCGTTGAGAGAGCAGCCGAGCGGGCTCAGTTCCGACAAGCTCGTGGGAATTCGCCCGTTCGGCAACCGAGTGCCGTCGATCTTGAGTCGGTTACGCGGGCCGAGCGGGGAGGGCACCCCAGGAGTCCCAAGAATAGCGACAAACATTCCAAAGCCTCGATCCTCGATCCTCCTCCTCCTCCTCCTCCTCCTCCTTCTCCTCCTGCTCCGGGCCGGCCTTGCACTCAGGTGGCACCTGCAGGAGTGCGCAAGTGGCAGTTACCGATCACGAGACAGGCGAGTCGCCGTCAGGATACGACTTACACACTGAACTTGCAATCCTCCTCGTCCACCTCGTCTCTCCGCCATCCTTCCTCAAATTTGGGACAGCTCACAGAGCCCCCAGGGACAATGAAGAACCTCTGACAATATTTCTCGGAACTTCCAACGCGTTCGAAACTCCTCCTGATCACTCCTTCCCCCTTCCACTTATTCCTCCTTCGTCCTCCTCCTTTCTCCTCCTTCCCCCTCCTTCCCCCTTCCACTTCTTCCTCCTCCTTCCCCCCTCGTTCTTCATCCTTCTTCCTCCCTCTTCCTTCTTCCTCCTTACTCCTCTTTTCCTCTCCCTCCTCCGAGAGCTCGCACTACGTGTTGGGAGGAACCGGGATCGAAGGGTTGCGTTGCGAAAAAAAACGCGACGGGAGGTTTTTGTGTATAGTCTGCGTCTGGGGACCGTTACCGGGCCTCGGGAGCGTTAAAAAACGACTCAGGATGAAAAACCGGTTCCAGGGAAGGGGTCGAGACCTCTGGGGTCGACGTTGTGAATCAAATCACGACGTCGGGGGTCTTGGCTTCTACGTCGCGCCATTATCGTCATCAGCATCACCAACACCACATTCACCACCGACCACCATTAATCACCCACTATCAACTATCATCGTCGTCGTCATCATGCTTGCACTCATCAACACCGCTACCACGCATCATCACGAGCTGCAGTCAAGCACTCAACACCAATCATCATCGCCGGCATCGTACCAACATCAGGACCACCATCCTCAGATGGGCGATGGTCGACATTCCGGTCGCTTTCCATCGCATCGAACTGGTGCGGTCGGCGTTTCGGGGGAACGCGCCAGATTTGAGGCCCCGGAGGGGCCCACAGCCCTCGTGTCCCCCGCTACAGGCCACGGCGAGGAGGGCCGACGCCGAGGTCCTCGCGCCCGCGCGCGCAGTGTGCATCCTCGGCCCTCGGCCTCCTCCTCCACGCCCTCGGAGGGGTCGGGCCGACGCGAGCCCGCGCGGGGTGCCCGCACCCCCCCCCCCCCAGAACGGCGGCGAGCTCAAGGACGACGACGTCGGCACCCTCACCAACTGGGCGCCCTCTGGGGGGGGCGGGAGGCAGCCCTCCCCCCCATCCCCCGACCTCCGACGATCTGGAGCTGGTCTGATGCGCCCGCTTTGGATCGCACCACGCACCGGGCTCAGAGCGTCCGTGTGCACTCGCCGCGGGTTGGCTCAACGTGTTTGCCCACCTCTCGGCGAACGCACCGGGTCAAGCCTGCGTTTCCAGTCTGCGTTTGGAATGTTGTATCAATACGCTTCGTGCTGCGTGTTGCGCATCGGGGCAGCCAAGCCGACGATGTGGCTTGTGTTGGCAAGATGGCGTGCGATGCGGCGCCGCTGGGCCGCTTGTTACTTTTTGTCAGTCGGCCGACGTGATGGGTCAAGCGTCGGTCAAGCAGCGGCGGGACGCGCCGTAGCACAGCAAGGCATTCTCAGGAGCGAAGGGAGGGAGGGCTGGAGGGGAAGCGGGAGTCAGCCACGCGCAGAGGGGAGTGGGGGGAGGGGGAGGGCTGCTTAGAAGCACCCCCCTGCTTCTCAGCAGGCGCGGGCCTTCTCTATAGATGCAAGGCCGGCGCCTTCTAAGGCGCAGCCTCCTTCTAAGAAGCCCCCCCTCCTCCCTTCACCCCCTTGTGCGCGCCGCCACGCGGAGGGGGGGGGGGGGGAAGGAGGAGGGAGGAGGAGGAGGAGGAGGAGGAGGAGGAGGAGGGAGGAGGAGGAGGAGGAGGAGGAGGAGGAGGAGGAGGAGGAGGCGGACGCGGGCCTCTTCCGCGCGCCCGACGCTCCATAGTCGGGAGCCGGCAGACGCCCCCGCCGCCCAACCCCAAGGGGCGGCACCCCCGGGGGTAACTGCCTGCGAAACATGCAAGCAGCTACTCCCAGGAGGGTGAGGGCTTCTGCCAGCCGGAGCCTCTGGCCAGCATACAAGGGAGCTCGTAGACGAACGCGACCTCCCCGGCCGCCGGCCTGCGCCTCTCCGCGGCGTCGCAGTCGTCGGTGCCCCCCAGTAGCGCCGCCCAGCCGCCGCAGCGCAGTCAGCGGCGCAGTAAGCCAGCAGCGCTCCGCAGCGGGCCCGCGGGCGCGGGGTCGCGCTGGCTGGCGGCCTCGCCAAGCGTCTGGGGCCTGCGGCCAGCTGGCCCGCGCTCTGCAGCCCGGGTGTCGCGCTCGCTAGGCGGTGGGAAGGGCGGCGTCCCCCTCGAGCGGCCTCCGGTGGCGGCGGCGCCGACGCCTGGCGCGCCGCCTAGCGCAGGCCGGCTGCCTTGCGGAGCTGGCGCGCCGTGGCAGCTTGCAGGCCGCAGCTCAGGAGGAGGGAGGAGGAGGAGGATGAGGAGGATGAGGAGGAGGAAGGAGGAGGAGGAGGAGGAGGAGGAGGAGGAGAGGGGAGGAGGGAGGGAGGGAGGGAGGGAGGGAGGGAGGAGGGAGGGAAGGAGGAGGAGGAGGAGGAGGAGGAGCAGGAGGAGGAGGAAGAGGAGGAGGAGGGGGAGGGGGAGGGAGGGAGGGAGGCACACGCAGAGGCCGCGGAAACCGTCGCGGTGCGTGCCCGGAGCGCAGTGGTCCGAGCAGGCGCCCTGGCGAAGCGGAGGGCAGAGCCGCACAGGCCGCCTCCTGCGCGCCAGTGTTGTGGAAGTCGACGAATTTAGGGGAGCGAAACATGGCATAAACATAAAAACTCGGAGATCCGCGCGGATTTCTCGGATCGGCGCTGGGGCCCCCCGGCGGCGCCTCCGGCGCCGCCCCCTGGCGCGCTCCGCGCGCCAGGGAGGGGGGTCCAGGTGTCCCCGGGCCCATTCATGACGGAGAGGAACCGTGCTGCCAAATGATTTCCTGATGTCTGAAAGATGTTTCAACTATGTGTTAGATCTGTTTAGAACAGGCTTGCAACCTTTGTAGAACATGTTTTCCACAGTTTAAACACATCCTTAATTCACTGATAGGACTGGTAGTGTCCATTGTCATCGCATCCCCAACGCTAGTGTCCCCCACCTCGGGCAAAGCGTGCACGGAAGAAGCTCCGAGGGGGAACCGGGGGTGGGCAGAACCCCCACCCTGACACGTCGATTAGTCAATTGTCCGATTTGGCTTCTCGAGAGGGCGCCACGGCCGTGACTTCCCAGGCTTGCGCCCGCCAGGCTTAGGCCCGACGTCGTTTTTGTTCAACTGCGTTTTGTTAAACGGGGATTTCTCCATCCACGAAGGAAAAGGTATATGAAGAAAAGGTACCCATACTCAGGTGATCGCAAACATGGATCAAGGGGGCGTGGATTAGCGACGGGTCCCGTTTCCATGGGAAATCGCAGATTTCCGCCGCCGAAGGAGGCGGCACCCGCCGCATTTTGGCGAGGGCGCCTCCCCCGATCCATGGATTTGGTGACCGCGCGCCAAATCCATGGATCGCTAATCCATGTTTGCGCGCCCCCGACCATCTAGCGGAGACCCATTCCAAGAAACACCCTGCCTGCCTCCAGGGTGTCATGGGTTTCTTTGGTTTTGATTGTTCTGCTATGGAAAGCGTGGCGTTCCCACACCACAAATCAATGGACGTGCTGGGGTCGCAGGGTTAGGTTTCTTGTGGAAGATTTCTTTGTGGACTGGCCTCCACTGGACCTCTACCCTTTCCTCGCTTTCCTCTTGTTCGGGCCTCCTCGGAGGCCCTCGTCGCCACTGCTGGATACGTCTTGGAATTCGGGTCAGAACGCACCCCGGGGGAGAGGTCGGGAGAGTAGCGGTATCGGTACCTTTTGGTCTCCCCAGAAAGCCCTGGCAGGGGGATAGCGTGCGTAGAATGGGCCTTCGCGGGGGGGGGGAGGAACTCCCCACCGGGGCAGCTTGCTATCATTCCCACGCCAACCGTATGATTGTTTTAGTCCCGGCGTTTTTCCTCGTTTTCGGCCGCTGGGGCCCATGATCTGGCCCCGGGATCACCAAGAACGAATCTCGCTTGGACGGGGTAGAACGAGGATGAATCCGTTCCAAATCGTTCCAGAACGTTCTGAGAAGGCCGCGCGAGAAACATCCTCCAGAGCCGCCAGATTTCAGAGATTATCGAATTATCTTCACCCGATGTTAGCCTCCTCCTGGCTTCATCTTAGGGTTCCGTTATCGCCCTGGGACCATCAAAAACTAACCTTCGACACAAAACGACCCCCCAGGGTAGGAGTCGGGACTTCTGGCGCCGCACATAGAAAACACTCACAGCGTCGGGACGTCTTGGTTTTTCAGGGCCACCCTAAACCAGCCCACCAAGGCTTTGAATCGTCGACGAGCGAGGGGGAGAAATGAGAAGGAGACGGCCTTCTCAGACGGCGGCGGGGCTTCTCAGAAGTCCTCGCGCCTTCTGCGAGGTGCTCTGTGTCTCCGGGGCAGGCCTGGCACATGTCTTAAGTCGGGGAGTGTTCCAAAATAGTCCAAAAATAGTCTGGGGATTTTTTTAAGTAAGATTTCACCATTGTGGAGTGTTTTTTTTGACTATTTTGAATTTTTCGTAGAAAATCCCCCTGTAGGGGGACACGCCCGACTTAAGACGTGTCTCACACCGCCAAGGGGACGTCCCGGCATTCTGGGCAGGACCACTCCTTCTCTCCCCGGCCTCCCGCCCTCGCCGCCGATGGAAAGTCGGGGGCGGAAAAGAGGGGGGTGATGACTAGGGGGGGGTGGATATCATGGCGCGGGCCATGATATTTACCCAGATTTCATGGCGCCTCTTCTTATTTCATTACGTCCCTGGCCCCCCCGCTGGGCCGCGCACATGCCGCCGGGTATGATTTGCACCCCCCCCTCTTGGACACCCCCCTCTTTGCCGCTCCCGAGAAAGCTCCACCCGGAGAGAGTGAATCGTTCAGGAGGGGAGAAAACGTACAGTCGCAATTAATCGTCGACTCCCCAGAAAAAAGAAGCGAAAATATGGGAAGTTGGGGGGAAGCAAAAACCCAGAACACCTGGGAAAGTATGGGGAATCAGCTTATCTGTGTGTACTTCTTTTGTGTGTCCCAGGGCCCCTTCCATGAATCATGGACGACGTCTCGAACCACGGCTGCCGTTTGTCTTCGGGGCTCGCCCCCGCGGGCGCGCGGATGACGCCGACGGCGGCGGCGGCGGCGGCGGCGACCGCAGCGACGACCCCCGAAGACCTCCGTGGACCGCCGAACCCGAAAGCCTCCGAGCACCAATCGAAGGCCGACGGCGGCGGCGACGGCGTCGGCGGCGACGGACGGCAGGCCGAGGCTCGCCTTGGGCCCCCTGGCGCGGACGGCAGGCGGTGATGACGATGATGATGATGAGGATGATGATGATGATGATGATGATGGTGATGATGATGATGATGATGATGATGATGATGATGATGATGTTGTTGCTGATGGCGATGATGATGATGATGCTGATGATGGTCATGATGATGATGACGATGATGATGATGATGATGATGATGATGATGATGGTGGTGGTGATGATGATGGTGGTAATGATGATGATCGTGATGAGGACGATGGCGATGATGATCGTCGGCATCGTCATCACCATCAACAGCCGCATCATCATCATGATCATCACCACTAATTGCCATCGTCATCACCTTCATCAGCCTTATCATCACCACCACCACCTCCGACGACGGCGAGGCGACACAAATGAGTCTGCGCAGTGGGGGGGGAGGGGAGAGCGAGGGGAAGGGAGGGGAGGGATGGGAGGAGGGGAAGGGGGGAAGCAAGCTAGGTGCGCTCGCGTCATATCTGACGTCCTACCCCTCCCTCCCATCCCTTACCATGGCGCTGATTTTCTCTATCCGCGGACGCGTGTCGTAGCGGACCTGTGGCTCCGCGCGCGCGTGCGTAGTGGGTGGTGGTGCGCGTGCGTGCGTGCGTGCGTGCGTGCGTGCGTGCGTGCGTGCGTGCGTGCGTGCGTGCGTGCGTGTGTGTGTGTGTGTGTGTGTGTGTGTGTGTGTGTGTGTGTGTGTGTGTGTGTGTGTGGTGGTGGTGGTGGTGGTGGTGGTGCGGCGGCGCGGTGGTGGCGGGCGGATGGGCGCGCGAGAAAGAGGCCCGCGCTGGGGCGAGAACGCCATCCTGAACGACGGAGGCCAAACACCGATCCGAAAATGAGGCCCACGCTGCAGCGGGAGCACGATTCGGAACGATTCGGGAGCAGAAATGAGGCCGGCGCCTCAGCGAGAGCAGCATTTTGAAAAAAAACGCAGGCGAAAACCCAACTCCCGGGAATCCTGTGTGTAAAAAACAGTACGCGGGGGGGGGGGTCGGCCACTCCCAGCACGCCATCAGGGGAAGAGGGAGAGTAGTATTCATATTAAGTAATTGTGGAGAGAAGGGAAGGGGAGGGGAGGGGAGGAGAGAAGGGAGGGTGGGGAGGGGGTTGGGGAGGGGAGGGAGCCGTTTTCGGCCCCCTGGGGGCCCTTCCCGGGCCCCGGGGGCGTGGGCAAAAGAATGCGGGAGGAAGGAAAACTGGTCTCGGCGAAGGGGCCGAGGCCTTCGGGGGTCGACCTGGCGAGAGAGCCGCGCCGTCGAGGGGTCTGAGAGTCCTCTCCTCCGGGGCAAACGTATGGCCCAGGGTTGCCGGAGCTCGGCTTTGCCGCCGCTCCTGTTGGCAGTCTTCGCGGGGCGGTGGCAGCGGGAGCGCACGTCTGATTGCCGGTGAGGTCTCGCGATCTTTCGGGCGGCCCCGTCGGCCCCCAAGCTCGAGTCGTCTTTCGTCTCCCCGATCCCTCGGACCCCTCTCGCGCTGCGGGAAAGTTCACGGCGCGAGGTTTCCGTCGGCGTTCGGCCTCTGGGGGACCTTGCCGTGGTCCTCGGCCCGTCAAGAAGCTACCTGGGATGAACAGCCCGTCTTGTCAGGCGATCGCAAACATGGATCAAGGGGCGTGGATGTGCGACGGGTCCCGTTTCCATGGGAAATCGCGGATGTCCGCCGCCGAGCGAGGCGGCCCTGGCCGCACTCTGGGGAAGCCACCTCCCCCGATCCATGGATTTGGCATCCGCGCGCCAAATCCATGGATCGCTAGTCCATGTTTGCGCGCCGCCAATCCTGGACACTGAAGTTCTGCACAGTCTGACCGAGGTAGAAGTTCGAGGTCGGTTCGGGGAGGACGCCCTGATGTTCTTTGTGTTTGTTGGATGTTCTTGTACACCCCGGGGGTGGGTACGGTAGGTTCGCGTCGTGTCGACCGGCGGCGACTCCGCCGCCGGCTTTCAACGATGAGCGTTGGCGGCGGCCCAGAGTCGGTCGATGTTGAACGATCCTGGCGTTTCGGGCACGGCCGATCGTTCAAGGTTGAACGGTCCCCGCGGTGTCGGGAACCAACGCTGTGGTCGACACGACACGAACCTGTCGTACCCTGGAATGCTCTTCAGTTTGGCCGGCGGAGGGCCTCATGTTCTTGAAGGATGTTCTTCTGTCCTAGGTTCGGCTGTATCCTCCTCTTCCTCCCTTTCTCCCATGGTTCCCTTCTGAGCCCGTCCGGCGTCTGAGCCTGTTCCGCCGCCGGCGGAACAGCCGAACAGTCCGAGCAGGGCCGTGGGAATCGAGCCTGCTCGGCCGGCAAAGACGGGCGAGCCCTCTCGGCGGTCGAGCGGGCTCAGACGCCGAGCGAGCTCAGAAGGGACCGCTTGGGTCGATCCCCCCCGTCGACTAAAATCGAAGAAGAAAACCGGCATTGGCATGAATTGTTGGCGCCCCGCGCGGATTTCTTGGATATGCGCAGGGACCCCCCGCGGCGCCTCTGGCGCCGCTCCTGGCGCGCTCCGCGCGCCAGGGAGGGGCCCAGCGCGGACCCAAGGAATCCGCGCGGAGCGCCAGCAGTTTGCGCGCATGGTGTATGACCGATCTCAACCACCTTTAGCTGGCGACGCGTTCCGGACTCTAATTAGGTCCTCTTCTGGGCCAAAAGGCTGCGGTGTCCCGCGCGCGTGCGTGCAGCGCGCGAGCAAGGCGGCAAGACAAAAACCTGGCTGCCCACCCACCGTCGACCAAAAGCCGCTCGGAGTGGGCTGGCCACGCGCAGAAGGGGGTAGGGGGAGGGGGCAAGGCTTCTTGGAAACACCCCTGCTTCTTGGAAGGCGCGGGCCCTCTTTGTAGATGCAAGGCCGGCGCCTTCTGAGAAGCAGCCTGCTTCTAAGAAGCCTTCCCCCCTCACCCTACCCCCTTCTGCGCGTGGCCAAGTCGGCCCCCGTCGGCCCACCGTCGACCAAAAGCGGCTCGAAGTCGGCCCCCTCCTGGCAGCCCAGGGACGGCCAGCGGCGCGCGAGCCGCGGCCGAGGCCGTGGCGGGCCCAGGCCCTCGTGCCTCGAGCCTGCCGGGCTTCAAAGTTCTGGCTCGACCTCTGCACAGCAAGAGGCCCTCGAGCCTGCATCCTCGAACCCCCCTCGAATTCCTCGGGTTCCTCGAAGCCCTCGAATGCCTCGAGCTCTCTATCCTGCATCCCCGAACCCCCACCCTCGATCCTGCATCCCCGAACCCTCGGAGAACCCTCGAACTCCTCGAGACCCTCGAGTTCTCGGACCTCGATGCTGCTGAAGCAGAATGTCTCGCAAGACCGCGCGGATCTCTTGGATCCGCGTTGGGCCCCCCTGGCGGTGCCTCTGGTGCCGCCTCTGGCGCACTCCGCGCGCCAGGGAGGGGCCAGCACCGATTGAAGCATTCCGCGCGGACCTTTGAGAAATCGTGTTTGTGCTGTTTGTGTGTCTTTACCCTTGATGATTGATCCTCGAGCTTCGATCCATCGCCCTGCCCATCCACCGGTCTGTGTGGCTCACGTCGCGGTAGAGGCGGCAATATGCCAGCCCGCCCAGGTGCCGCAGTTCTTCGGCATCGACAAGGACGTCACGCAGAACATCGTTCAGACCACGAACAAGACCATGCTTCAGAGCAAGGTCTAGACATGGAAGCCGGAAGGGGGGAGTTGGGGAAGGCATTCGAAGTTGGGGAAAGTCTGTTTGTTGTGCGGCTCATTCTCCCGAAGGATGGGTGCACCCTTGGAGCGATAGGCGGACGCACCCCCCTCGAGGAAGGGGTGCCCCTGTCGTACGTCCTCGAGTCGGGCCCCAGATCTCTGGCCCAGCCGAGCACCCCACAAAGTACACAAGTCGGGGATCGGGGTCGCCATGCGCCCCATTAGAGGGAAAAGGAATCGGAGGTTGATAGACCTCCTGCCCTGACACGTCGATTCAGGAATTGGCCGTCTTCGGTTCGCGAGGGGGCGTCGCGGCCGTCCTTTCTGCGGGTCCAGGTCCGTCGGTTTCGGTCCTGGGCCGTTCTCACTGAGGGGAGGTTTACCAGAATGGAGGATGACGATTAATAAATGACCGGGGGTCGTGTTCACGCGGCGGCGCCCGGGATGACGATTAGAAAAAACCGGCCGCGGGCTGGAAAACTTGTTGTTTTAAATCGTTCTCCTCCAGTCAGAAAACCATGCAGACATAGCAGAAAACTGTTTTTTTTGAATCGTTCTCTCCCATTTTTTATGAATCGTCATCCCGCATTGGGGAGGTTTGCCCACCGCCGAGGGAGGCGGCCCCGCCACAGCCTGGGGGGGCCGCCTCCAGCGAGGAGGTGCACGGTGCCTCCCCGAGCCGGAGGCGGGGGGTGCCCCCCCCGCGAGGCACGGGGGGCCACGCTCGCCCGGGAGGGCCCCGCCCCAGCTCCTCTCGGGGGCGGGCAGAGCCCTTCTGGGCTGATGGACCTGTGTTCCACCACCACCACCACCACCACCACCACCACCATACGCTGGAGGGGGGGAGGATGACGAGGAAGAGGAAGAGGAGGAGGAGGAGGAGGAGGAGGAGAACCCCCTCCCCCTCCAGCTTATGGTGGTGGTGGAAAACAGGCCCATCATGGGCGACCCTTCTGGGCGACCCAAAAGGGGGTCCAGAGCCCCCACCCTTCTGGGCGACCCAAGAGGGGGTCCAGCTGCAAGGGGGTGGTGCAACAGATTTGGGGCAAGTGGATGGCAAACGTGTTGAGCCGGAGAACTCGACTGCACTGTACACCCTAGGCGATGCTTAAGAAAACGTAAGGTTTCGGCCAGAGTCTCGATTATTCTTATTGTTTCAATGTGAATCCTAAAATTTTGGTAGAAATTTCGGGTTTTATTCAAATTCTGAGACTCTGAATTTCTTAACCCA